ATTGATTTACTGTAAAATTTTGAGAATCTCCGCCAAACAGGGCCATATATATGTATACGAAGTGTATTATAAAGGATATTTGAGTCTAACTCAAACTAATAAAATCGATTTGTCAAAGGAGGATTGTTCTTATCTTATTAAGTGGGTGCACCCAACATTACAAAACTATGTCTGCTCTGATATCATATTAGAAAGGATATTTGTAAGATGAACGAGCTAGTTCGTTCACAACTTCATCGTCTAATTTCTGTTTTCAAAACACAAAAGTTTGACGAGTCGATTTAGCGAGCCAACATGTCAATAGCTTGTGCGAGCGAGCGACTTGACTGAACCCATTTAACACCCATAAGCATGTATGGGAATTATTTATAATAGGTTTAAATTAAAAATAAATTGGGAATAAATGAGTATACTTTGTGAATTTAGTGCCGGTTTGATATCCATTTTATTGTAAGAATGAACTTTGAAATAGTAGATTGATGGAAAATGTATAGTTAAAAAATAATGAAAATTTTTGGGTTTACGTGTAATATTATTTTTTGTTTACGTTCCAAAACTAATTGAGAATACCTAATCTAAAGAGTTTCCTTTAGCCTTCTTCGAAGCAACATTCTTGACAAGAATAATGATTTTATCAAGATCTATTTACAATTCTTGTTCATTTTCTTTCTTCTCGTCGTTCTTATCTTCTCTTTTATTTACTTCGATGATATTATTGAGATCTATTGTATATCCTCATGTTAATTTTGAGAGCATCTAACTACCACAATGTCATCGTATCTTCTTCCTTTCTCCGTTGAGTTAGCAAAACACTAGCTCCTCTGTAACGACCCGACCTCGCGCCGGAATCGTTATCTTACGTGCTGTCCGTTTCGGGAGAGTCTAGGCACATCTTATCCCTTAAGACTTTCTGACGCGTCTCCCAGAATTCGAACCCGAGACTTCCATCATATGGGAGACTTAAATTGAATCCTGGTACCAATTGGACAACTTTCTCAATTGGTACCAGGATTCAACTTAAGTCTCCCATATGATGGAGGTCTCGGATTCGAATCATGGGGGACGCTTCAGAAAGCCGTGAGGGATAAGATGGGCCTAGGCTCTCCCGAAGCGGACAGCACGTAAGATAACGATTCTGGCGCGAGGTCGGGTCGTTACATCCTCAGTGAGATGGTCATTAGAAAGGAGATAGATATGCTCAAAATGGTCATTAAAAAGGAAACAACGAGAATCACGCACGAAAAAGTTGAAAGAAGATAGTGAGTCTTTTGTATTCTTTTAGTTTTTATCATAAGAATTTGATTCTTTGGTCTTTACCACTTCTTATCGATTTCCTAATGTTCCGCGACATTATTTTGAAAATTCTTCAATATGAAATTTGTGGATGAGAAATTGTTAATCATACAATGCCTATATTTCTCTGTGTCTTGATAAATTCAATGTTAACTTTCTATATGTTATAAAGGGGTGTAAAATGTATCAAACCATATAATCGTCGAATTGTTCAAAGTTAGCAGTTTAAACATCTACATACTTGGCCCCTATTTGGTTTAAATAAATAAATAAAGAAGAAGAAGAAAAGAAGAAGAAGATATTTTTAGTAAATATTGATAAAAGTTAATGGATATGTAATTGAAAAAATTGTGAATTCCTTAATAAATGTGGTTAAAACTGATTATTGATTATTGATTTTGACTTTGATTAATTGAATCAAACATGAGTTCAATAAAAATATACGCTTCGCGAATGATGCTTGAAATAAAATAAATGAAATTGGTATCCTCATTATTCACCCATAGTAAGCATCCAATCTCCACAAAAAATCATGGTATCTCCTTCTCTCTATTTCACATGAAAACACGTGTGAGCTTAATTGGCTGATTTTGGCTCATTATGGAGAGATCGATGTTGCAAATGGGTAACTAAAGAAGATGACGTTCAAGAAGATCAAATTTAGGGGCATGGACCTCGATGCCATCCGGAGAATAATGGGTAGGGAAAGANAAGAAGATGACGTTCAAGAAGTTCATATTTAGGGGCATGGACCTCGATGCCATCCGGAGAATAATGGGTAGGGAAAGTGTTTGATAAATGGTAGGATTAAGTTTTTTACTTTAATAATTAGTTTTGCTATGGGTTTATATCATAGTTTATTCAATTTGGTATTATATAGCACTCTTTAAAAATTTTAAAAAATAAAAATAAAAACCTCCGTGCAGCACAGAGACATCGTGTCTGCGCGGTGTCCGGACACGGTGCCCGTGTCCGCGCACCGTGTCTCCATGTTGCACGGAGAATTTTTTTTTTTTTTTTTTCTCTTCTTCTTCTTCTATTTTATGAGGAGATTAGAATTCTTTTTCTCAATTATGTTCTTGCATTCATCTTTATATAATTTACCTTTGTAGACCGATATGATGGAACTCACTTTATATAATTTACATTTGTGTGTCTTCTAAACATGAATTGGGTGTTTACATGGAGTTGAAACTAATTTACGCATGTGTATTATTCTCAATAATTTTTTTTTTTTCCCGAGATGCACACTGTTTGAGTTTAATCTATATCCAAGTCTGTACATATGGTCTCCAGATTCCCATACATGTCCAAATATTTTTTTCCATTCTTTTTTATTTATTTATAATTAAATAGTTTCTTATTGATTTCAGTTTATAACGAGGCCTAATTGATTTTCCAAATGGTATTGAGAAACTGTTATAACTTGGAGTTTTGAACAACATTTGTCAAAAAATAATGATGTAATTTGAGGAGCAACAAAGTCCAACAGTAGGTAATTTAATTTTTTTTTTTTGTTGTCTTTTTATGTGCAATATGATTTTTCCATATATTTTAAACTTTAATTGTATTAATGAGTTAAAGAATTTACTAAGACACGAATGTTGTATGAAAACAAAATGGAGATATGGACCTCTTTTTTTGTATATATTGTGCAATGTGAACAAGTAACTTAAAGTCATGTTTTAAGGGGTCTTTAAGGTTGAGGGTGTTGTGTATATGTTTCTCGATACCTTCAACTATGGTCTTGAATATGATATTTATGAGATTGTTTGTTCAGTCTGAGATTTTTTGTTATTTTTTTCCCTCTTTCACAAAATCGAACCAAAAATATCTAAGGTCTGTTCTTTTGATGAAATGCTTTAACGTAAAGTTATGTTCAGGGGGTGGTTAGGGTTTAGGGTGTTATGTATATGTTTTTTCGATTTTTTCATCTATGGTGTTGAATATGAAATTTGTTGTTGAATCTATGATCTGTTTAAATTTTTTCAATGTTTTGGTGTTTAGTTTGAGATTTTCCACTTTTTGTTTTGTATGTATGAGATCAAACAAAAAAATACCTAAACTATGTTCATTTCATAT